TCCCCCCCAAACTTAACTCCCAACCAATGTGGGACTTTGGCATTTTGCCAAACTTCAACAGGTGGTTCACCTGATCATTTATCAACTGCAATATAATTACTGAATAAAATAAAGGTCTGTAGCACTTGGGATCAATATCCTGGTGCTAATCTAGTTTCTGTGTTCTGGGTGCTAGAGGATTTACGATAGGGGAAGGTAATGGTCCTGTTAGAGGCGGATCCATGTTTTTTAAGTCAATGGATGCTAAGTCATAAGGTTTGGGATCTTAAACAAAACTTTGAGCAAAGGCAGAGAGGAGATATCTGAGATCTTGCCTGAAGGATTTGGAAAGATTAGATATCTGAATGACATCCGATAGAATGAGGAGAAAGGTTTAATATTCTTATTTAGTTAACAGAAGTTCTCAAAGCTATATGAGTAGTGCATATAACAGTTTTCTGTTTCACTAATTGAAAAGTTTTGTTATGAGCTGTGTTGAATATAGATAAGTCCTGGAAAAACTTGTAATGGCACTGTCTTGTTTCAGGCTTTGTATCATGCTCTTCCGATGAACTATGTAACCATTAGCAATCTCCGAAGCAAACTAGGAGGAGAGACAAATCAAACTACTGTGAAGAAGCTAATAGATAAAATGACAGAAGATGGCTTTATTGAGGCTAAGAGTAAACGCAGGCTAGGTACTCAGTGGCAAACTGCATTTTTGGCTTTGCACAGAGGAGAAAGATATAAATAGCAGTTACAACCATTTGCTGGATTGCTTTTGTTATGCAGGCAAGCGTGTGATCCACTCTGACTTGACTGAGAAAAAGCTGGTTGAGGTTAAGAAGGTCTTAGAGAAAGATGCCATGGTAATAGTCATGCGTTTATATGGGTTCAATAGATTATGTACTGCAAAAGTTCTAATTCACTTTTTAACTGTGTTCATTGGTCAGGACGTGGACATGAACAAATCGGGTAATAACTCCAACTGTTCAGAACTTCCCATAGTGCTTACTCAATTTACTTTATGCTTGTCATCAAGATTAATATCATGAAAGCTAAGACAGATTTGTTACTCGCAGAAAACAATCCCACAGATTTATCCACTTGCGGTGCTCTCCACTCTATTGGATCAGATCTCACACGCACAAGAGGCAAATCTGATGCCTACCAGAATGGCTCTGCCTTGAGTGATCAGACTGTCTCAAAGAGAAGGGACCATGAAAATACACCATCAAGCCGAGCTGAGGTTGTTCACTCGAAATTGTCATTAGTCTGAAAAGTTGGTTGCTGAAAATTATGCAGGAATAACTAATAACATATGAGATTTTGCAGCCCATAGCTTCTACTGAGAGTTTTGTTCCTGGAAAAGAGAATGGAAAATCATATGGAAGCACCAACCATTTTAATGAGTTCGAGACAGTTATCTGTAGCAGATCGGGTAAGCGTAAAAGGAAAGCAAGCATGGTATGTATCAACTTCTCCAGAGGAACTTGGTTATATTTCACAATCCTGAAAATCAATCCGGTCACATTTTTGTTGTCTACAGGTGGAAGAGCCCATTCTTCAGTTTGGGAGCCGCCAAAAATCTCAAATTGCGTGAAGCTCACCTCTGGATGCTCAATTAGTGACATTTCTTGGTAGTTTCTTTAGTGGTAGTCTTCTCTTAACCCGAGCAGCTATGTGTTGGTTTAATCTTGGAACTTTCGTTTGTTAACTAGCAAATATACCGGTGACCATGATACTGTAGTCAACAAAAACTAATATTTCTCTTATGGAAACTGAAATATAACCCCAAAGTTGAAGTTCACGGATGTTCTTCCCGACTGTCTATGCTGGTTTTGGATGAGAATGTGGAAATCATCCTGATTTCATGTGTGCAAGACACGGGCGGAATTGAAGTAGATTATTTTAATCTGCTAAAGATTTAAAGAAGATCAGTTGTCAGCCTACGGCTATCTTCACTATTGACCAGTCTTCTAGTATCTTTCTGTTTTTTCTTTTTGAATTCAGTTTGCAAGTTCTTTTTGTTCGACGCTTCCGAAATCTTTCACTTAGTTCTATTCATTAGCAACTTGAGATCAGTAGCAGCACTCACAGAGTTTAATTTGCTGAGGCCAACAGATAGTTCTTTGTATGATAGTTATTTATCACGTCTATCAAAAGTATTTCTATTTCGCCAAACACTCTTTCATCCATTCGATAGCAGACAATTCTGAGAAAGAGTAAAGGAGAAAGATTGGAGATACAAAATCAGATGTTGGGAATGGAAGCTGTATTGTGCGACTCCGAATATCTAAGTCAATAATATGAGTTTCTCACCATTTACATGATATTTAGTTGATTTCGTTTTTTCCACTTAGAATACAAATCCAGTCCGTTATACCTCTGTTCCTTTTCCTTTATACTAGTGAGGATTAGCCCGGCCTGTGCCCGGGCCCAATAACCGTGAAGTTTTCGTACGTCCTCTATGATTATTTGAAGCAACAGATCCAAAAGAAGTTGCACGGGGCAGTTTAGAGCTAAAGTATCAATTTCCTTAGCAAATATGCTTGCTACCTCATTTTCGCAGAAGTATAATTGTAAATCCAAAAGTGATTTAACCCTTCAGTAGTACTCAAAAAATAAAATATGTTGCTCTGACAGAAAGCAAGAAGTTATACTGATCCCAACAGTGGTTAGTAGTAATGCAAACAGAAGCAGGGATAGGATCTATCGATTGACAAGCATCTAAACTAAAATCCTTATAACTTGTTACAAAATGGTGCACTTATCCACTTTATATCTATTTTTTTCCAACTGAGAGGCCAATGTACGTTATCTGTATTCCACGTGCTAGAAAATACGAAGTTGATAAACTCCATACTCTTGACTTAGTTGTACATAGAACAGATACAACAATAGGTAAATTGTCTAGCACGATTAGGATGTGTAGAAATGTAGATTAGAATATTTAGCAAAGATATTTAAGAAGAGTCAAATAAGCTAACCCATCAGGCAAAACTCGGCGACGTCCATTAACACATAAAATTGCTTCCTTTGATCATCTCCTATCCTTTCCATTTACTCTCGTCCATCAATGACCCCATTTTTTAAAGATTTGATTTTTTCCAGTAATGAAAAATTGTTTTGGCTTTGATGATTAAAGGAGACAAAAGAAAAAAAAAATAGTTTATATTACTGGAAAAAAGATTTGAAAAGAGTTATATGTTATATGTAAGTTACAGGATTTTATTTGAATTATAGTCATTTGGTCCAGTGGATAGAGATGAGCTATCCAATTATGCTATACGATACTATAATTAATTAATATGGAGAATCGTGATGGGAGGATTATGAATTTTTATTCTCAAGTCTTAATTAAATATTACGAGTTCGAGCTGTAAATATGGTTTCTTCACTCTTAGTCAAACGTCCCGGGTTCAAGCGATGAGGCAAAAATAAATTTGCTCAGCTCTGGTTCTATTTAAGATATCCATGTTTTAGCTTTTGATGCCTGCTAAATTACTTTGTTTTACCACGTTTTATCCAAAGTTTTTATCTGTTTTGGTATATTTTTTTAGTACCACCATAATGAGTGCTGATATTCATTGGTTTGTAGTGCATATATTTTACTTCTAAGTTTTGATTTGATATATGTGAAACTTATGCAGACCAAAGATGTCAAATTTTAAAAAGGGATGAGGCAAAAATAAATTTGCTCAGCTCTGCTTCTATTTAAGACATTTATGTTTTAACTTTTAATGCCTGCTAAAAAGTTTTTATCTGTTTTGGTATGTTTTGTTTAATACCACCATAACGAGTTTGATATTCATTGGTTTGTAGTGCATATATTTTACTTCTAAGTTTTGATTTGATATATGTGAAACTTATGCAGACCAAAGATGTCAAATTTTAAAAAACCTGTGGATTCAACATGCTGGAAACAAAAAGGGAAACGTCAATGCTCTGAAGAAAGAGGCATCCAAATTAAACAAAGACGTCGCGAAATGTATAGGGCGAGGTCAGCTGATAAAAGAGAACTAAATTTACTGGAGCGCCGAACGACATACGTTCGTTCTAGAATGCAGAATCCAGCCAGTCATTCTACTGAAGTATCAGCTTGCTACCAATTTAATAGAGAATTAGCGAGGCAGCGAGCTGCTCTAACAGGAGCCTCATCTTCTACCTTGAGAACAGGTTTGTGCGCTAAGATTTTGTTACCCTTGAATAAACTATGTGATACACATATTTTGTATGCTCATAACTTGCTCTTATATTTTAGTAAATGTGTTCACAGTTAATGATTCCACTGTTTCTGATAATGGGAAAGATCTACATGATCGCTCTTCCGTTTTTGAAGTTGGTAAGTGCGAAAGTATAGAGTTCAAAGTTGTGCAATCTTTTAAGACCCATATTATATGATAATTCGTTTTCTCTTAGGGTCTACATCAGGAACGTGTAGTGAACAATATAATATTACCATGCATAACGCTACAAGCAAAGGTTCGTTTCCATCTAACTTTAATGTTATTTCAGTCATTTCTTTTTCAGGACTGACCTTTTTTCATTATGGTAAATCTAAAATATATAGGTCGTACATCTAAAAAAATGTGTCTCTGGAACACCAATGACTTGACCAATAGCCCTTATAGACTGAAAACTGTGTCGAATTGCAAATTTTGTAGAGCCAAAGATTTCAATATGAATCACCGGGATTTTGTTGTGATAATGGATCAGTGAAATTGATTCACTATGGACTACCTGCTAAATTGCTAAATCTTTATTTAGGAAACTCTGAGGAGCCCAAACATTTTCGCACTTATGTTAGATTGTATAACAATATGTTTGCATTTACTTCTCTTGGAGTGAATTATGACAGAGATTTAGCAAGAAGAAATTGTGGTATTTATACTTCGCTTAAAGTTCAAGGGAAAATGTATCATTTCATAAATGACCTTGTGCTTTCGAGTCAACTAGCAAAAAATCTACAGTTGTATTTCTATGATACTGATAATGAACTAGCAAATCGGATGGCATTCTCTGACAAGCTTAACGAATCAGTTATCAGAACTTTGATGGACGCATTAAAAGTTAATCCATACTCTATCTTTTTGAAATATTTAACAAATATCCCAAAATTATTAAACTTCTACATTGCGCTTAAGTTCGACTCTGGTTTAGATTAAAAAACATATAACTTACCGACATCATCTGAAGTAGCAGCAATATGGATAGAAGATGAAAGTAGTTCCAGTATTTCTCTACCACATATTCGAATTTATACACATAGTAGTAAAAGCCAATTGGTAAATTACTACTATGATTGTTATGATCCATTGCAGTATCCATTACTATTTTCTTATGGACAAAACGGATGGCATTGTGGTATTAAAAAAATTATTCGAACGAATAATACTATTAACCATGGAACTTATTGTGAAAATGAACAGCTACCAAGTGTAGAAAATATGTGTTCAGTCAACATACTACTTGACATGGAAGCAGAACTTCTGGAAAAAAAGAAACGAAAAAGAAATACTGTGTCATGTCGTGAGTATTATTGTTACAAGCTCCAAATGAGGGACGGTGAAGAAAATGGGGTTTTACATGCTGGAAGAGTATTCCAACAATACTCAGTTGACGAATTCATCAAGCTTGAGACTCAAAGGTTAGATTTCTATTCATTTAATCAAGATTTATTTAGAATTGATGCGTTAGCGGGGATTCTTGATGTTCTAAGACACGAAGAGAGAGAGAGCCATGCAACATTGGTAGACAAAGTTTTCTTCCTGCAAGTTTTATAGGAGGTCCTAGGGATATGCACCGACGATATATGGACGCTATTGCGTTAGTGCAAAATTTTGGGAAACCTGATATATTTTTGACAATGACATGTAATCCATCTTGGCCAGAATAGAAGAACATTTATTGGTAACAGATGAGGTACAAAATAGGCCCGATTTAGTTAGTCGTGTGTTTAGAGCAAAGGTAAAGGAGATGAAAACATATATTCTAAAGAGAAATATATTTGGAAAAGTTGTTGCTTTTATGTACACTATTGAATTTCAAAAGCGTGGTCTTCCACATGCTCATTTTCTTATCATACTCAAAGACGAATATAAATTGTTAACTCCGGAAGCTTATGATAGAGTTGTTTGTGCTGAAATACCCGATTCTGATAAGAATGATTACTTGTATTCAGTTGTTACTAAATATATGATGCACGGACCTTGTGGTAGTTTAAATCCTAAATGTCCTTGTATGAAGAACCAAGAATACTGTAAGTTCAAATATCCAAAAGATTTTGCTGATCATACATCAAAGGGAAAAAATGGATACCCAATTTACAAAAGGCGAAATAACGGTAAACGTGTAAATATTAGGGGACAATTTCTTGACAATTCGTGGGTAGTTCCTTACAATCCATATCTATTGAGCAAATTTAACTGTCATATTAATGTTGAAGTTTTTTCTGATATTAGAGTTGTCAAATACCTTTATAAATATATCTGCAAGGGAAATGATAAAATTGTCTTTTTCGTACATGCTGATGATCCAAAGATTGAAATAGATGAGATCAGAGAATATCAATCTGCTAGATGGGTATCTCCACCAGAGGCAACTTGGCGTTTATTTGGTTTTCCCATTAGCGAAATGACTCCATCCGTTTATCATCTTCAGCTACATCTTGAAGGACAACAATTTGTCTCTTTTAAAACAACATAGACCGTAAATGCAATTATAAATAATCCCATGATTAGGTGTACAATGTTGACGGAATTCTTTTTGATGAACAGAGAAAATCAAGATGCCAAGAAACTAAATTTACTCTATAAAGAATTTCCAGAATATTTTGTATGGTCCAAACAATATAAAATGTGGATACATCGACAACAGAGCACTGTTATTGGACGTATTGTGACATGTCATCCAACAGAGGGGGAAAGATATTATCTTAGATTATTATTAATGAATATTAGAGGACCGAAATCATACCAACATTTGCTAACTGTAAATGGAATATGTTGTAGTACATTTAGAGAAACCGCAGAAAACCAAGGATTATTACAATGTGATAATAACTTGGTTGACTGTATGTCCGAGGCTGTAAGATATCAGATGCCTTATAGTCTAAGACGTTTATTTGCTACACTTTTGGTATATTGTAATCCTACTAACCCAAAAGAACTTTGGGACCGATTTGAAGATTCTATGTCTGAAGACTTCAAGATTTTGCCACATTTGAACGAGAAACAAATTTGTCGTATGGCTTTAGATCATATTAACAACATTTTGCATTCATTGGGTCGTGACATAAATGAATTTGCACTTGTATCAGAAAGAATTTTAGCTTCATTTGCTGCTAAGAAGGCTCAAGATTCTCATTTTGAAAGAAATATAATTGTTAGAGAAGAAGATTTATTACTAGAAACAAAATTGGACAATGAACAACGAAAAGCATATGATGTAATCCTTGATAGAATATTTAAGAATAAATCTGGAGCTTTTTTAATCGATGGTCCCGGAGGAACAGGCAAAACTTTTTTGTATCGTGCATTATTGGTTGCTGTACGATCAAAAGAATTTGTAGCTTTAGCAACAGCAACCTCTGGTGTTGCAACTTCAATTCTTCCCGGAGGACGGACTACTCACTCTCGTTTTAAATTTCCTATTGATATTGATGAACAATTCTTCTGTAATATTAATAAGCAGAGTTCCCTTGCATCATTGATACGAGATGCCAAACTAATTGTGTGGGATGAAGTATCAATGGCCAAAAAATAATTGATAGAAGCTTTTGATTTACTACTGAAAGATCTAATGGATACAAAGACACTCTTTGGTGGAATA